GTTCGAATCTAAAAGAGATGAGACCCGAATCGACCTCAAATACAAACGATACTTGATTTAAATTATTTTAGAAAACTTCATACAAATTTAATCTGACAGATTCATTGGAAACAGAAAATTTAATATGACAATTTATGTAACAGACTAAAGTTCTCGATTAGCATATGCTAAACTACATACGTAATTTTTTCTACCATTTATGAATTTATGACGCACGACAATTTACCCTATTCACCCCTGGAAAAAACACCTTCTAATTTGTCTTGGTTGCAGAAATTCAGGTATAAAAACCAACCAGATGTTTTATTTGTGTTATTAATATTTATTATGTTTATTAAGCTTATATTTTGTATGAAAAGTGTCATTTTTTGCTACATTGCCATTGATGTAATAAAATGCTCGCTACACGCACATGCACTTAATTTTAGATTTACGTTTGTTTGGAAAATGACATTTTTTATATTTTCATTGATATATTAAAACGCTAGCTATATAATATTGCAGTTAATGTAAATAAAATCTTCCCAGCTTGCCGTTCCTCTAAAGCAATGAGTAAGTTCTTTGGTAAATATCAAGAATTAATCTATATAAACTAAAGACAATTTAAAATACATAGAATGTATATCAAATCAATAGTGAAAGTTGCTGTCTTCGAGTTACTAACCTCACACCATTATGGGTTCGAATCCTGCCAGGAACATTTCGATTCTTGCACGTGAAGGTAATATCAGGCTAGCTTGTGGAACGTCGCATTGTGTACACTGGTCCTACTGTCGATATTTGAGAGATTGGGGTGTATACCATGGGAATGTCGGTGATTCTACTCAGATGCTCGTCCCTAAAAAGTGCACGTAGAGACACCTGAGGGTCTCCCTCTACCAGAAAAGCCAGACAGTCACCAAAAAAACCTTACCAAACAAATAATATCAAATAATATTAATTAACACTGATACATACCATATTTGTTGAGAACGTTAATAAACTGATACGATTTTATATACAAAAAACTCACCAGAACTTTAGTCTGTGTGAAAAAAAGGTTGTAAAACATGTCAGTCAAAACTAATTACAGGTCTGAATACATGTTATATTTCTATTTAATGTAAATGTCACCAGAAACTACTTGTAGTTGATCGCCGCTATCTAAACTGAATGAATGTAAAACATAATAAATTGTGACATTTGAAACGGCTAATATCTGCACACAGCGTGTGTTTTTATACCTTCCGACGCTGTCAAGGAAAGTTTTTCTTTTTTTTCAATTTAAATATAGATTTCACTCGAAAAAAAAATGATAATGTATTTTTATATAATTTCACTTATTGAATCAGGACGGTTGTTAAGTCTACAATATGACAAATTATCTCACGTGGAGCACACAATTAAAAATTTTGTCCGAGTTCAGTAAGTTTAACTGTCTGATACAGTTATTACATTTCATATCAAAACATTTTGTATGAAAAAAAATAAAAAAAATGATTAAAGACCCCCAAACATTTATGATTATGATTTTTGAAGTATTTGCATTTCATGAAAAAGTATGTCTGTCCTACTATAGTAAAGAAGATTTTATCATTATTTAAACAAAAGTTTAAAAGGTGCACTTTTTATAGACTTTTATGTACAAATTAAAATCCGTTACAAACGGTGGGTTTGAAACAGCTGAAGGGCGAATTATATCAAAACTTATGAGAAAGGAAAAGTGGTAAAGGAGAAATGAGCCGCGTCTCGACAAAACAAACATAATGGGTATGCGACCAGCATGGATCCAGACCAGCCTGCGCATCCGCGCAGTCTGATCAGGATCCATGCTGTTCGCTTACAAACCCTATAAAAAGTAGAGAAACTGATCGCGAACAGCATGCTGATCAGACTGCGCGGATGCTCAGGCTGGTCTGGATAACCCATTATGTTGGTTTTGTCGTGACGCGGCTCAAATGACATATCTAACGTGTAATAACAGTAATCTTAATCTACCATTACGTTGTTACGTCTACTGAACAGACATTTGAAGATTGATTCGCTATGAAACAGGTGCGCCCTTAATTACTACCACTGATTGAACAAGGAAAGTTAGCCGTCCCAGGTATTGTTTTTACGAGTTAAGGAGATAAAATCAGTGATTGAGCAGGTGAAGATGATACCAGGGTATATCTTTCGTACATATCGCCTCGAAAATCACATTACCTAACAAATATGGGCTCAATACCGTACATCTACTTGTCAAGTGTAGCTACCTTAAGCTATTTTCAAGTGTGATTAATAGTAAAAATTAACAACGATAGCTCTTTTACACGCAACTTTAACCTATAAACAACAGTGTCCCTTAATAACGAACACGCAAAGTTGAATTTCATCAATTTTCTGTAACAGTACTTCTGCCTTGTTAAGGTATGGCCTTATTGATAGCCAAAATATAAGTCAATAAAAAGTAAAGTGGTACAGGGCCTAACTGGACCGCGTATGTCTTCCTATCTCAGCTAAAATCTAAATGCCGCCCTTGTATGGTTGACTTTATTAAAATTCGTTAATGTACATTTAAGCATGGCGTGTATAATGTATGATGGGAAGTGTCCAGGGTTAAATACAAATGACTGGCGGACATTGAGCAAATAAAACTGGCCATCAGACGCTCTTAATCACAAATCCTATCTGAAAAGCCTATCTGTTTGAATAACATGATTGCCAATATATTCAAATTAAGTCCGATTAAATCTTCTTTTCTGAACATGACTGTTTTATACAAAAGTATAATCGGTCATATAAATAACCTGTCAAATATTGCTTTTATTCAAATAAACTTTTATGTTCGTTTTGATGTCAAAAACTGTTTTTATAGGACATCTTTATTTGCGCGGATGTATGCCTGTCAACATATACCGAAGAGATTATCACTTATTATTATCGTCTGCGAAGACTTCGTCATTACACAGTCTGCAGAATTTACGCCTGATATCGATGCCGTTGATACGGCTAGATGCTACTTTTTAGATATAAAACTCAAAAATGATAATCATAATTTTTATCAATGATGATAAATATAGTATGTGTTTTTACACAGATGTAACAACTTAAGACAACCTGTCTTTCATCGTAATTTAGAACAAGAAATAAAAAAGGAAACCTACCATGATTAATTCTTTCTGAATCAATTATACTCGAGAAAAAAATGCAACTTCTCTTCTTTATTTCTTTTTTAAAATAAAATATTGAGGAATTGATCTGCATCGCAAATAGGACCATTTGCCTTTGTACTATTATATTGTCAATAATCTAATACACAAGGGGAGAGGTGGGCTTGTAGTTAAGGTGTCTGCCTCTCAACCCAGGGATCGTGGGTTCGATTCCTAATCGGGTCACGACCATGTTTCTTCTTATGACACTGACTGGTTCCAGGAAGCGGACTCGAAAGTGATTAATATAAGTCGGCAATGGAGCTTAAATAGATATGATTAAACCGATAATATTATTATTTAGTGTTCTTACACGTTTTCAAGTCAAGCTCTGCTGGAATCGTATGCAAATCAATGAGGAAAGATAGAATGCCCTCCAGGGTTTATCATGTGAAGTAGATATACAGTAATGTTTTAAAAAACATCATCAATATACAAGATTGATATAAGCATTTCATTAATAATGTAGCTATATTGTTTCATCTATGCTGTGGAAATGTTTGATCAGCATTTTCTACTGTTTAATCATAAACGCATGTTACAAAAACAAGCGTGTTCAAATACTTAACAGTGCACCCATCCTGTTTTATTCTCCATGTACTTTAAGATTAAAATAAAAAATAAATAAAAAAATATAAAAAAAACTTAATATCCCCCATTATTTACTGTAACTATTATAGTTTCAAGTTTTATTGTGAAATTCATGCAATTGTGCTGTTGTTTGATAATGTAAAGCTAAAATGGAAATAAAAGTTTAATTATTTTGCTTACAAATATTAAACCTATATTAAACGTCTCTGAATAAAAAAAAATGACAAACCTTCATTCGATAGTGATAACAATATGAAAAAAGGAAGTAAATGTAGATTTAAATGTGTCTAATGTATTTTATATTGACAAGGTACACCGATTTGTTTGGTAAATTACACACAAAAAAGCACATTAAATATGTGAGTCATTCCATAATATATTCATACGAGGGAGAACTTAACTGTAATTTTCTATTATATAAGTTTAAATATTTAAATAAGTTATAACATCAAAATAAGTAATACAGTTTTACTATTTTTATGAAGTAAATGTGTGTCTGCGAAGTGTCATATAAAATCTACAATGCTAAATAATTCTGGTATATCATTTTTATTTTATATGTCTATAAATGAGCCGCGTCACGACAAAACCAACATAATGGGTTTGCGACCAGCATGGATCCAGACCAGCCTGCGCATCCACAGGATCCATGCTGTTCACTATCAATTTCTCTACTTGTAATAGGGTTTGTAAGCGAACAGCATGGATCCTGATCAGACTGCGCGGATGCGCAGGCTGGTCTGGATCCATGCTGGTTGCAAACGCATTATGTTGGTTTTGTCGTGACACGGCTCATATGTCTATAAATGGTGTTACAATAATGAATGCAAATTTCATACTCGTCTCATGCCATAATATTTGACATGTTAAATAACTTACTACAGCTGTATTTGTTATCATAATTTGTTTCACACTATGTTACAACAACAATAACATAACTTTTATTAAACTCTTTAGATTGTACGATGATAAGAAGTATTTTTTTATCTGTACAAATTGTTACATAGTTAAGAAAGAAAGAAAGAAAGAAAGAAGAAAGAAAGAAAGAAAGATAGAAAGAAAGAAACAAACAAACAAACAAAAAAAGAACTCACAAACAAAATTATTGATACTGCATTTCTATTTTTTACTGTTATGTATAATTTTATACTGTATTTCTTATATTATACTGTATTTCTATGTTTATACTGTATTTCTATGTTTATACTGTATTTCTATGATTATACTATATTTCAGGTACGAATCTCTGTTATGACAACACTTACACAGAAGAGTTTACAAATAGACGAAGGCTGGTACAATGCCGTCGATGGTTCAAAGGTTATTGAACTTGAAGGTCCCATCTTCATGACCAAAGTGGAAACCATCTCTGAAAATCCGTAAGTTTTATTCTGTGAATATTAACCATACTTTACATTATTTTATTGTTTAAGTTAAATATTAATACGACTAGATTGCTACTAACTGTCCTTAGTATGACCACATAAGATTTACTTCAATGTTTAGGGAATAATGGCCCACTTTATATCCTGTTAAAGGTACAAGAGAGGGCACTATCCACCACTAGATGTCTTATTCCAAATGCAACACGAATGGAAAGTTTTAGCTAATATCAAGAATATTCATCATTCTTGGATTTCACGGTGAGAATGCATCGGAAACTGCCTCAACTTTAACTCACTAACATCCATGACATATGAAATGTTACCTTGTACATATTTCCCTTTCAGTTACACCGTCTTCTCTTGCCTTTATTAATAAAGCCTAACATCCATAACATATAAAGTGTTACCTTGTACATACTTCCCTGTCAGTTACACACCCATCTCGTGTCTTTATTAACAAAGTCTTCTGTGGATGTCATAGTAAACCGTAGCTTCCACATAGTTACTTTCTTCTTAGTTACATTATCTTCACAGTTTCTCGTGATGTTGTACTAAACATTCTTCCCTCTCAGTTAAACCCTCTTCCCTAGTCTTTAATAACAAAGTCATCCGTATTGTCACACTAAACCTAACCATACACATACTTCCCTCTCAGTTACACCCTCTTCCCTAGTCTTTATCAACAGTCTTCCGTGATGTCATACTAAACCTTACATTACACATATACTTCCCTCTCAGTTATATCCTCTTCCCTAGTCTTTATTATCAAAGTCTTCCGTGATGTTGCACTAAACCTTACCTTCCACATACTTCCCTCTCAGTTTCACCCTCTTCCCTAGTCTTTAACAAAATCTACCGCATTGTCATCCTAAACCTTACCTTACACATACTTCCCTCTCAGTTGTAAACACCCTCTTCCCTAGTCTTTTTTAACAAAGTATTCCGTGATGTCAAGCTAAAACTAACCTTCCACATTCTTCCTTCTCAGTTACACCCTCTTCCACAAAGTCTTCCATGATGTTGTACTAAACCTTACCTTCCACATACTTCCCTTTCAGTTACACCCTCTTCTCAAGTCTTTATTAACAAAGTCTGATCTACCTTCCACACACTTCCCTGTAAATTACATCCACTTTCATTGCCCTTATTTACAAACTCTACCGTGGCGGCCGTATTAAACCACACTATTCACCTTCTTTACTTGATCATTACAAGCGTATTTCTTACCTTTCAACCTCACTGTGAAGAAATTGTGATGGTAAATTATAACTTAAATTGGACATTGTCATCTTGCAATAAATGATATAGTGATTGGACGTAAAATGAGCTTGTAGTCAAAATACCCCATACACATCAAATTTTTAGATTTCCATAAAAATATAGAGTTATTTCGTTCCTACACACACACAATCAGTCGTCAAAATGTTTTCTACCCTGTACAACTTCACTTATTTACAGCTAAAGCATGTTATTAGTCATGCATGAAAAAAAAATCATATTGCATGACATGTTATAATAATTCAGGCTATGAATTTATCCAAAAAAGGAGCTGTTACTTTTCAAGAATGAATATTTAGCATCCGTAGCATTGCATCATAGTTTACGATCTCAGCTTAAGTTTACGACGTCAGCTAAAGCTTGTGTGAATTGTAAATATTTCCATGAAATAATGAATAATTAATCGTAAAAGAATTTTATCTATAGTTAGTATCAATTGTATCATGAAACATGAAATTGCTCGCAGAAGTTTCCCTGACATCTTGATTTAATTTTCCTTTCAGAAAGAATTAGTTACGCTCTTGTATATTCAAAACTCATTAAAACAAATGAAATATTATCTTTATTATTTTTTGTAATCTAAATACAAAGGACAATGACTTCAACAGTTTGACCCGTTACTATTCATGTATTGTTTTATGTTTATAGACATCCGGGAACCGGATACGAGCGTGAAGACCAGCAAAAGCACGAGGAAGTAGCTCTGCTACAGCAAGACGCTCGGACGCGGCATAAGAAACAAAATAGCCGCTTCGATAAAAACAGGATTCCAGAAGGCAAACGCCCGCGAGAAAATCCGAGGAAGCAGCTATATATTTCTTCAAATGATGTACCCACATCTAACTATAGGCACAATGGTCCTAAAACCAGCCCACTCCTAACAAATGCAATAGAAAAAGCGGGATTTGATCCCTACAATTATAAGAGAAAAAATGGCGGTGATACGGGTTACAGACGACAGACCACGTCACCGAGCAAACCAACAGAAGAAAAGTCCACTTGGAACCTGCAAACGTACGAAGGTGTAATAGATGCCCTTCTAACAGGTCATAAAGTATACTTCACCGCACATACCAAAAATTGTTTCCATGAACACGCGCGAAAACGGGAGCAGACGACATTCGGAGATTATGTTGACGTTTTTGAGATTCAAAAAGATTTCTCCATAAAACAGCCGAACAAACTGTTACAGTTTTCCTTGAAGAGAATGCAGCACACAAAACGCAGAGGTATGCATGTTTGTTTGTTGGTTGTGTTTATAAACCTGACACAAAAGACACATTTTATTACTTTGATGTTGCAATTAAGAATTATCGTTCACATAATACGAACAGTAATGGCGTCTGCTATTCTTCGATCATTATTATTTCATAACTTCAAAGCTTCACTCATATTTAAAAGCAAACCTTTTACTTTTGTATGTAAAAACTTTTTGTGTACCATCATTTCTATAGTCATGTATTCAAATGAAACAATCATTTTTTTCAGGTTTTAAAGAAATCATACGAGAAGTAACGGTTCATAGAAATAGCACTGTACACATATTAACTGTCATTCTGAACGAGGATGGAAATATTGACAGAAATTCCTACGCCGAATGTAACCTATATAATCAAGACACAGGGTAATGTTCCTTATAAATGCACGTTGTTTTGTTTATCAAAGAAATATAATCCCCATAAAATTATTCTATACCTCTTAGGAAATTCTATATTAAAAGATTGCTGTATGGAAATTGCCGCTTCTCTAATTGATGTTACATTCTCTCAAATTGAAAATGATAATAATTGTTTTCAATTGGAAAATTTTATAACTCTTTAAGGCTTTTAGCATTGATTTCTGTTGTTTTTTGTTTTGTCATACAACTACGGGGACTTTAAGCAACTTAAAAGGATAATGTTACTGTAAACATATGCCATTATTTGCGCATGCGTCATTATTATACGTTTCTGTAACATTTTTTCATGTTTTTCTTCCAGGAAAGGTGATGTAAAATTTTACCTTGACCCTTATCGATCGGTTTCCAAGGTGACCAAACTGCGCAACCTGAGGACAAATCTTCAACAAGGAAAGATGATCAGGATGACGACGGAACTGGACAAGTGCAGCGGCGGTCAGTCAGACTTCATCACCGTCGGGGGAGAATTTCGTGGTAAGACATAAACAAATTAGTTTTAAGTTTTACAAAAATACTATACCAAAACAAGCTTTCATTATGCCTTATAAGTTCTAATAAAAAAGTTTGATAATGTTAAAGGTCTAAGTTTGAGTCCTGGTACAAGATGTCCAAGATGTTCCGAATATCTCTCTGTTATAAACTGATTAAATAAATACTTAGCTTGCAATTTAAAGGACAACTACCTTTTGTTTTATTTAAAATTCATTTTATATAGCAGTTTATTATGTCCATGATATTCTCATTTACATATCTTCTACATTGCAAGATCATCAAAATTTAAACATTTTGAAATATGTCGTGTTTTAAGGTTTATCCGATTACAATTTTGTTTACTTTACATCAATAAGATGGTAAATGTTGTTGATTCTGTTAACCTGTAAAGATACATATAGCTAGCTGCTTGTGACGTATGTATAAGCGGTTCTTTAGTAAGAATAAAAAAATTGGTTTCATTTCGAAATACTGAAAAAGTTATTTCGTTTACGTAAGCTATAAATCATATACATGTATAATATACAAAGCCCTAGTTGTATCATATCTAATCAATGTATATTATAAAAAATGTCAAATTTACGTTTATGATGTTGTAAAAGTGCAAATAGGGTTAATGATATTCTTTTAACAAGTGAAACACGAATGGAGTAATAGCGTTGTCATCCTCTGTTAAATTTCTCCGCACGTCATTACACTTACTACAGCACGAGCATGTTTCTGTAGCCGTGCCAAAATTTGAATTACCAGGTACCACGCCTGGGTCAGAGTGCAGCGTTTGTTGTATTTGTAAAATAGATAAGATATTTAATACGTCATTATACTTTTGTACTGTTGATACTCCGAGGAAACACCGTGTTTCAGGATGTGTTATTATTGTTGCTCCATCTAATTGGGTAATTTAACTCTAATCTTATATATGAATCATGACTGGTAAAAACAATCAATGCCAGCTTATCAGCCCGTCTGATACTTGTGATGTCACGACTGATTAGTAATAATTACTAGCCCAATGAATACGCCTCGATTGCAAGTCTGTATTATTTTGACAAGACGGATGTTTTTTTGCAATGATCAGGATAATTGTCAGTCTTTTTATTCATCGGATAAAATACAGATATTCACTTCTACATAAAACATCCTTTTGATCCATATGATAAAAAGTTTTAAGATAGGCGTATCATCCAATAGCTATACGTCTTATTATTATGAGGAGTGACAATAAAACCAAATAGCCCGTCGATCGTAACTAGTAAATCTCACAACTTTGTAGATATAATGTGACACCGTTATGGCTCCGTCTCAAGCACCATTATGTTTTAAGACACAATATTTACAATATTAAGAGCGATAAGACGCTTTAATTATTTATGTCAAGTTTATTGTTTCAACATTGCCACACCTGCCTTAACCAAACTTCTTTTGAGAAATTAGCTGAACGCTCGCATTCACTCCGTGAAATCAATCAAATTGAGAAAAACCCCGTTCGCAAATGTTTATGTAATTTACTTTAAAGGCTATTATATGACAAAGTTAAGTTTAACTGTTATGAAGCGGTATTTGTGTCCATTGATGTTAAAAACTAATTTGTCAGCTCTAAGACTGTTGACCTTAGACAAACAAGAGTCAAGTACAGATTGGAGCATTTCATACAAATGGTCAATTGTTGTAGTTGATTGCAATCAATAACATCCTAGACTGTCGTCAAAGTTCAGAGGAACAATTGAAGACTTAACTGATGTTGTTTTGAGCACCAAAATATGCATTTGAATATATCTAAATGCATAATCAATTGGCAGTGTTTTTTATTTCTTTTCAAAATTACCATTCAAAAATGGATTATAGTTTCTTCAATAATTACACAAATATACTGAACTTATTATGCCCCTTTTCACTTGACGTACTTAATTAGTGAGATATTACCATAAATGCATTTGAAAATACATCATAAACAAACGACCTATTGATTGATCATCGATGAATCAAACAGATGTCTGTACTGTGACACCAGCTAAGTCTTTACAACCCACGTGGGAAATCTTGTCTACATATTACATTTTATCAATTTGATTCATAATTTCATAGGTAAATATCGATCGGGACAAAACCTGGTATTGCAAAACAGACAAGATGATGTATGGGAAAGTCTCCGGTGGGTTAATATCCGCTTGAATTCATATAAAAGCCGCTTTGTTTTATTTTTTCCAGGCTATGATCTAGGGAGAAATAGCAAGACAGTCGATGTGACATTGTCCACTACAAAACTAATTCCACAGCCAGGAGGGGATCTTTCCGTCGAGGAACATTTCACCATATTTCGCTTTCCTAAGCATGGGGAGATAACCGTAACACGGCACCGGAAGCACGTGACTAGCCTCGTTCAAAATGTCTCCATAGTGAACGGTTTCCAGAAATACAAATGTGAAATAGATCCGAACTCCAGTACAAAAACAGTGCATTTGTTTAATTCTTGATCCAATAATGCTAAAATAAACTGGCACTCAAATATTGTTGTTCTTCAATGAAATTATTCAAGTGCCTTTCTAACGAAAATGCACGGGTATTGCGCGTTCTAAGGCATAAAACATGCCTGTTCACTCCATTTTTATTGACATATAAAATTTTCTTAGGTCAAAGAATTGCTTGTTTGCTGTGAGATGGTACTGACAATGTTATATGAATTCCATATGTGAAGATATGACTTCAGTTTTAAGTGCATACGTGATGTTAAAATTATCCATCAGTAACTATGAATATATACCAGACGAGAACTTACCGTACAACAATGCTAGAAAGTTGTGGCTCCCTGGAGTATATTTAGTGAGTTTTTATAGGTTTGCCTTTGATAGTGTATGATAAAATTTAGCACTGTGTTGAGGCGTTTTGAATGCATAATAGATAAACATTCTCGTTTTTTTATTATTAACTTATTTTATTGTTACATTTACATGTACTGTAATTTGTAAAACATGTGTTTGGTTGTGTCTAATATTTTGTTGTTTGTAATGTTTTACCCGTCCAAAAAAGGAAAAATACTTATATTACATTGTATTTTTTAGTTTTAAACTTTTTTTTGTACATTGCTTTTAAATGCTAAAAAGTTCATACTTAAATTTTAAGTAATTTACTAGGTTTTGTGTTAGTTAATAAAAGTGAAAAACATACATACATGCAACACATACGATATATGCCCTAGTTGGATTTTAATTGTTTTTAATTGTCAATATCATACACTGATTAGATAAATGTAAAACAACAACAAAAAGCATAATAAAGAACACATTGTTTTAAATACTTGTTTCATCACATTTTGAATACCTCGCCGTAGTTCTTTTTTTTACTGACATTTTCCAATTCTGTTTAAAGTGAATTGGTCTATAATGGAAGGTCTAATTATGTTGATAGTATTTAGTATCATACATGATAACAAACCACGAAAGAATTACATATGGACTTTATTAGAAAGTGTGAGATACATGATCCGATATTACATATCATGTATATATACAGAAGATAATATTTTTTTCCAGAACAAAATATTATTTTTCATCATATAAATGTTCATACTTAATCATTTAGAACTATATCAACCTTTTTATCAAGAAATATTTCATAAACGAATATCAAAATGATATATTTCTACAGCTTTTATCAGTAATTGAAATGAGCCGCGTCACGACAAAACCAACATAGTGGGTTTGCGACCAGGGTCCATGCTGGTCGCTTACAAACCCTATAACAAGTAGAGAAACTGATAGCGAACAGCATGGATCCTGATCCGACTGCGCGGATGCGCAGGCTGGTCTGGATCCATGCTGGTCGCAAACCCATTATGTTGGTTTTGTCGTGACGCGGCTCAAATACTTGTGGAAAATGTGCCCATTGTAGACCAATCCACTTTAAAATTTTATGATAATTTAAGGACAAATATATCAAAATACTGTCATATTAACAAGTTGTAATATATTTCTTTGTATTAATTTTATTCAGCATATGGCAACTTAACTTGCAATATGGTACCGAAAAGGACGCTCTAATTCCAGCGACGCACAATTATGTCATTGTCATTTCCTAACATACGTTACGTTAGTGCAGTAACGTCTTACTTTCCTATTAAATTATATAAAGAGTTAACCTATTACTGCATTAAAGTGACTGATATACTTTTAATTACGTGCATATGATAATATAGACTTTTAAAATGCTAAAATAATTAAAATGGGAAACATAATGTATTTTAAGCACAATTAAAATTTTGAAAAGTCTGTTTAATAATTTATGATTTAGTTATGAGTTATTATCATAATTCTGTCGGATTGTAAATTTTGTACATGTTTAGCACTGTATATAGTCATTTCACTTATTTATATATGATATGTAATAAACAATTTCTTTGATGCATTTCTTTGATCTTTGTTCGTCTTCATCTCGGTGCATGCAATTCTTAAAAAATTAAAGGTCCAATATGCCCCAGAAATACTTTTATTTTACATTCTCAAAAGCTTTTTTAATTGTGGTATACTTTCTGTGGTATTCAAAAGATTATCCATTGACCAATTACCGAAACCATCTTTTTCATCTGTTGACACAATAAGTGCAGTTATAGTGAATTAGTATTTTGTACGGAAGTCAAAATACTTTTTAGTTTACATTTTGCTACTTTTATATCAAATTATTTCTCATTAATCGCTACTTTCTTCAGTTTACATTTAACATTTCTCTAAAACTATTATTTCGATTTTATAACATTTCATCTTTGCCTTATCTACAGAAATAAAAATTATATTTGTTTCTGAGGCATAATGTGCCTTTAAGAAATAGTTGACACATGATTCATGTTTATTAGGAGACTAAGATCAGGACATGAATTATTAAAATCGAGTTTCACGTGCTTTATATATTAACATTCACAAAGCACTCATGTCTGTGGCATTTATGCAATGAGTATAGCTATTGAAAACCTTTGAACTAAATCAAGAAAAATCAAATATGAACCTTTACATATTTGTAATTTTTAAATAATGTTTCCTTTTTTAAAAAGGTATCATGAACGCATTAAAAGTGCGTGTGCTTTCATATGCGTTTAACCGACTCGGTAAGTACAATGCAATTCCTAATACTATAAATTTTTATTCCCTGGCGTACTTAGAACAATAGCTATTTGTCTATTTCAATTCTTCGAAATACATGCAGCATTAATTCCATACATAAAAGAGAAAGGCAAAGAAACAATATTGGCAACGCATTGCAATTTTCTACAATTATCTAGTGTTTATTTGCTTTGTTGATAATACACTGATAATCTGCTATTTCATCTTTAAGCCAATCAGACATGATTATTTTACTAATAGATGTTATCATGGAAACCGCGGCTGTAAAACCCGGCTTACAACAGGCAAAATATCGATTTACAAGTGAATGAATTCTTCCATTCGCCCCGTGAAAGACATACCTCGATAGTATAATTGTATATACCTGTAACGGAAAATTGTATCAATTTTCCAAATGTTTTAAATTCATTGGAATTCAGTGGAACCTTGTGTGGTTATTTTGTGCTTCGTAAGAAGGGCTTTGTATAAAATTCACTTAATGCTTTTATAAGGGTAGTTACCTGACACACGGACAGGGCCCGTGAATTTCCTTTTCTTGTTAGAACGCCACAGAAAATTATATCAAAATGTATCTGTACGGCAATACTATATATATATAACCATTATACATGTGTGGGGAAACTGAAATAAAAAGCGGCATAATTAATTTACACTGACAATTTTAGTACCGTCATATAATAATCTGCACTATTAAAGTGTGGACATTTTTTTTCAATAGATATAATTAAGGTTAAACGGAAACTGTTATTTGATTGACACTACATGATTGAGGTTAGAAAACTAAACTCATATCCGACGGCGCTGTCGGGATATTATACGTTCTTAAGATACTTGGAAATGTTCACTTTCCAAGTACAATGCTTTTACGAGTATTAATCGTGTTAGAATGCGTATGCATGTCATTTTACATGACAATAGACAAGAAAGGGTCAAACAAGAAAATATATTATATATTTTAGAATCTATTATATCCAGATAGGAATTTTACAGTTATTATAAAAAAAGAGAGCCAGAATAATCAAAGTACATAAAGAACCAAAAGTAAGGTTTTTTTAGATCAAGGATTCCCTTTGCTTTGAGAAGAAATATGTTAGGTCTTAATGTCAGGCAATATTTGATCAAATGTAAATATGGAGAGAAGATTGATGAGGCTGACGCGACAATTTAGTGCAATCATTTGTAATATTTCCTTGATACTACAAGACTTAAAGGCATATAATGCCTCAGAATCTATTTTTTAATTCTTAAGAAAGGTCAAATATGTGTTTGATAATATTTTGATAACGAATTAAGAGCACCTTAGATGTTAAACACATGTTGAAAGCAGTCATGTGTTGTAAGGGTAACAAAATGTAAACTAAGTAGTATTTTGACATACATATAAAATACTAACTCACTATAATTATACCAGTTGCCAAAGAGCAAAAGAAGTAAAAGATAGTTCATCTTATATGGCAAATGAGTAATATATTGGAAACTGTAATTAGACACCAAAAAATAAAAAGGTTTTGAGAAAAAAAAAGATAGCATTTCGGAGGCTTAATGGACCTTTAACAAAACGTGTATGTTCAGCCAGAACGTGTGCTACATGAAGTGCCTGTGTCTTTATTAGTTATCATATTTAAGAAAACGTTTCTTTATGTGCGAATTCTGATCCTATTTTGTTAAGTTCATTTGTTACTTTAGTCGGGCTCTGTATTGGAAAATATGAGAAAAGACAGGATATGGTTACGAGCAATGAGCGGTCGTATTGTGAGAGTTTTGAATATTTCTAATTCATTTGTATTGCTTAGGGTTATATCTCAAGTAATTAAATGTTTCAACCGCAGAAAATGTTTGAAGATAACGTGTTGGATTTGTCTTAAGGCATAGTAGAAAGACAGGAAATTAGGGTTTTTTTTCGAAGCCTGTCACTTTGAGGCAACTGCTTATTTTTTGTCATTTCTCTTGAAATTCTCAAAACGTGACCCCCGAGACACAATTGCTATGCAGTTAAGCAATAAACAGGGTATTTCATTACGATTTTGTGTTAATAATCTTGTTTTAATATTTCTTGCATATCAGACTGGCGTTTCCGTTAGTTTTACCCATGCCGGAAATTTCATCTGGCATGGGGGGTTCCAGATGAGTCGCGTGCTGTGCAATGGCACGATAAAGATGACGTCATTTTACCGTTATGAATGATTTTGTAATTCATACGCTGTTGAATGAAAGTAGTTAAGGTTGTAATGATATAAATTTTCATTGAAAATAAAGATAAAGAATTTAAAATATAATGGAATATGGTAGAATATGCAAGAAAAAATATCTGACATATGTTTGCGGTTCGGATCGGAATATCCGTCCCTCGGTCACCCGCCCATGGGCGGTAACTCGGCAAGCCTCGTTACCGCCCAATGGGCGGGTCACCTCGGGACGGATATTCCGATCCGAACCGCAAAATATGACAGATATTATTATTCCCGAATAGTTAACAAGTTGTGTCAGTTTTTGTTTTTCATTAAATTACATTTTATTCAGTGCTCAAATTGAGAAGGTCGGAGGACAGGTATTTTCTGTAAATATTTACCATTTTCGACAAAAGAAAGGTCAGATGTGAGACGTTTTAGGAATTTGGCATCTAAAATGGTAGCGTTATTGAAATGAATGTGTAAGATCGCACGTGTTTGGTGATGTAATACATATGCTTATTCCATGTATTGTGAATTCTTGTATAAAACGCTCACACTATGTATTATAAAATAAGTGATTTAGTTTAACATATTTGCCGTAAATTTCAACGTAACTTTTCATTTAAACTACTGTATATCCAAATTTAATTCTTACTTGTTTGAACAGTTTGAACAGTTTATTGAAAATGCTGGGCTTCTTAGAGGCATCAGTCACATATACAATAATATACATAGAATGTGAAATATCATAAAAAGAGTTCCACAAAATATACTTATATACTACATGGCAAATATAAATCAAATACGAAAGTGTTACATTACGAAAATAAGCTTAGCTATCAGTTACTTAAATGCTGATATAATTATTTTACAGAATACTGCAAGTTTAAACAGTATACTCCTTTACTTTCAGCTTTGTCCAATATGGCGGACAAGACGGTGTTAGGGGCAATTCTCCCTTTCGTGAAATTCCTCTATATGTATTTATTTAAGCTCGATTTGTGAGACAAGTTCATACAACTTATATACATCAAATACAGGAAATCAAACAGTAATACTGGTTTCACACGAAGAAACATTGTTCTAACCCAAATAGTGCTTGGCAGCACGATGCCTTAGCTCAGAGTTGTTTAGAACGTAGAGAGGTAGACACCTAAACTGCAAGGTTAACGCTCCCGCTGTAGTAAAATTACAATTTAAGTGTATATTTTATATGTATCAAAATATGCGTCTGTGGCGGAAGTGTCATTTCTGAGATTTTAACTACTGTTTTATTGTTTTGTCAAAACTTATGAATGAACTTTGTGTAATACTCCGTGTAGGAAGAAAGGATAGTGGAATTGTCTTCATTTGGAAACAATTTTACGTCATTTCCGGTTGTTTTTATGACTCCTACGAGTGTATGTTAAGAGTAAATTTCCGTAAGTAAGCTGTTTAGTAAGGAGTTGAACAATACTAATTGGCATCGCATAGCTGTTTGCTCCTTATCATGAACGTGTCGTCCAAATAAATAGTATGTATATTTCCTGTTTTCGCTGACAACTATCACCAAGAGGCACGAGGTCTTGTTACAACGAGGAAACGTAGTTGTAAGCGTTTATTTTGATTCCATTGACGGCACTAGAAATAGTATGCGACACTTGAAGAAAAAATGCGGACCCCATATTAAAGAAACAGCTGCATTAAACATTTAGTGATAGATGTCAATACAATTCAGTCCAGCACGACAATATCACCCAAGGCTATAAATACATTGATTATTTAAAGCACTGCATGTACTGGAACTTGTTATTGATAACTTGATTAAAGATCGTCTTCTGGCCAAATGTATTTTATAGGAATTCAGTTTTGTAACTATACATGTATATAGAAGCAATAATTACCTCAACTGTGATACAGATATATCATATAAAAACTCTAAATATAAGGTGACTGGTGTTGTCCTATTTGCGATACTGAGCTCTGCAACAATAGGTACTAATATAAGTTTGGCACGTGGTTGGTCACGATGGCCTTTTATTTTTTCACTTGGTCATTCTCCAATTTAGAGAAATCTTTTCTTCTGTAAAAGAAAACAACTAAGAGAATCTTTTCTTCGTAATAGAAAAGTCATGGATTT